TCGAAAATATTTGTCATGGTCAAGAACTCGTTTACTTATCATCGCGTAGTGGCTGGGGGTGATAAATTTGTTACCGTATAGAAATTAATTAAATTATTACTCCATCTGTTGAACAAAAGAACTATTAAATATGGAATATTGCTCCATCTGTTGAACAAAATGTTTCTTAATTTATGACACATAAATGACATCTATTAAAATTAGTTCATATTACGAATATTGGGGGTGGTACTGTGGCCTTAAGCACAAACCAGCGTTTGTACAAACGCTGGATCAAATGCTTGCCAGGGCTTGACATGCCATCTGTAACCGGCTTTTTATATGTACCATATTTTCAAGAATAGAATTTATATCTAAAAACGGGTAAAAAAAGTTTAAACAGAACTGAGGATTTATTGGAAGCTGTCATAAACATTTTATTGTTAATTAAGTATGTATTTTACATTAAAAATATCGTTTGATATTTAATTGTAACCTATAAAGCCGGTTTTAAATTTCACTTCAAATAGTAATTTTGTTTTATTTATACAACAAAAATTTATATTAAATAAATATTTGTATGTTATTGATCAATTACAATAAAAACAGCTAGATTGATAACATATTTCAGTATAAATATGTTTTCATTAGCTTATAATAATATTGAACAAAAATTAAATACCATTGTGTTTTTAATTAATAAACCAAAGGCCAATTTTTGGAATAAAAATATTTTATTTTTGCTATAATATTGGTATGAATATCAAAATAATTATAATCAATTTCATAAGTATATATTGGTGCTTCGATGTTTGTCTTGGTTGAGTTTTCTCAGATGTTAGGAATGTATTTTGCCCATCTTCATTGTTTTGGAGATTAATAGAATGTTCTGTGGTCACCAATAATAGCCAGGATTATATAGTATTTTTAATACAAATCCCGATGTACTTCAGCAATGACGTCGGTCGTTCGTCATAGTACTACTTACTAATTAAAATGTCCTTAACGAAGCTACTAATCTGAAAATGTTACGAATATTTACGAGCATTTATGAACGTAGTCATATTACTAAAAAACCGAAAAATATAATGGTGACTATTTTGATAATTTTAGAATTATTTCAGTTATTTAATTTATACGTCTAATTCTTGATAATATAAAATTTATAAAAATATTATTGTGTTTAGTACTCAAAAAAATAATACTTTACATTAAACAATTTTGACATTTTAAATAATTTTGACATTCTGTGCGCCCATGAGACTCGTGTTTACAGAGAAGAAATGTCATTATGGCAATTGATACACCTTGTTGCGCTGTTGCAACCGCTTTTTAAAAGAAATCACTGATTAGTTAGGTTATGTTTATGTTAACTAGTTGATTCTCGATTGTGCATTTTGTGTTTTTTTACCTGTATTTTTAAACTTTGCTAGTTATACTTATAAAAAACTGTTTTTTTCAATACAACCATTGTGTGAATAAGGTGATTATTTGTCGTTTATTTTTTATATACAAAATGCCTAAAAAACTAAATAGTCGTTGTAAGGAGTTGATAGCTTCTTTAATCCACTATTTTGAACAAGAACGTGATAATGATGGACCACTTTTACCTTTAACTGCTGTAAGAGAGGTAAGTAACAAGTTATAGAAATGTATAGAAATATGAAATTGTTTTCTTGTCTTTTTTAGTGAGTTGCTGCGACTCTAAACATAAATATTTCTACTGTCAGTAGTATTTCCCAAGCAGTCAAGAATAATGAACTATTAAAATCGACACCTAAAAAGCGTTCATAGAAAAAAACCATTACTAACACAATAACACTGGATACAAGTGGAATCCGAAATGTTATTTATAATATATATGAAAGAAGTAAGTATAAAGATACATTTTTTATCCAATACTAATTTAAGTTTCTAATAAAAGTTTAAATTTGTATATCTACAGTACTTAATATAAATACATATTTATTTGCAGAACAATATATAACGTTGGAATCTTTAAGAGAAAATTTAATTAAGAAGCAAAAAATGTTTAATAGCTGTGCTACATCATTGTGGATTGTATTAAAAGAATTAGGTTTCAAATGGAAAAAAGAAGACCCCAGACGTGGTCTTATGAAGCTTGCTGTAAAAAGAGTGCAATTTTTAAGGAATTATGTAGATGCAAAAAAGCAGCCTTATTTCAGTTTGTTTTCATTGACGAAACATGAATTTTTCAAAATGGAACAGTAAACCGTTCTTGGCAAAATGACAAAAGAAGTGTTAGAACTACAAAAATTGATGGCAAGAGATGAGTCACCAAATTTAAAGTAAATGAGGGTATTAGTATTCTGGCTGTGATAAATATTATGTATGTACTTTTCAGGTAGGTATTTCAAGACTTACTGTAATGAAGTCATTTTTCATTACTATTTTTTTTATTCAATTGCCGAATTAGTATTCTTAATAATAATTTTTAATCTAACTTTCATTAGAATCCGGCATGTCAATTTAATAAAATTAATTATTCGTTACTATTCCAATTTATAAATCAACTTTTTGGCTTCACCCTGTATCTATTATTTTGAAATATATAATAATCCGAAAATACATAGTACTTTTACAATATAGCAATGGTTTTCAAAAGTCATTTTAAACCAGGGTTTTGAATTTATATTATAGAAAATTGTAGATTTGGAAATTTATCATTTTTAATATTTTTGAACGAAAACGAACGGCAGCCAGCACCGTCCCCTGCTCGAGTACCTTCTCCCACTTAAGTTGATCATGCGTGGGACATTGGTAAATATTTTTCGACCCGAGAACTAGAACATCGCGAGAGAAATTTTGAATTCCATTCCGAGCGATTGAAAGAACTAGTCGACAAATTTAATACCAGCGCCGCGAGCCAAAACCGTCTTTGCCGCAGTTAGTACAAAAAAAACCCGTTTTTATTTTTTGCCGTAGCATCGAGTTTAGATAGGGAATAAAACCGAATTAAATTAACTAGATTTAAACACCGTTTGAGATTACAGTTTAACACGTAAATAATTTTGTAAAAATTCCGAAATTTAATAATTAAATTAACTGTCGAAAAATATTTTCTTGTTTGGATATTGGCCGTGATTATTTTTTTTTATTATCGTCTTCGAACGGTGAGGACTGCTTCCGATATAAATTGACTTTGTAAAGAGAATTATTAAATAAGTAAATTGGGAAAAGATAGAAATTAGAGTGTTTTTCTTTTTTTTTGAAATTTAGATAGACTTTAAAAAGAATAGATTTGGTAAATTTCTAACCGTGGGAAATAAGGGAATAATTGAATATTGTTCATTTTTTTATTGGTTTAGTTTGACTGTTCGCGATTTTTTTTTTTCTACTGAAGGGGAGGGTATCATTTCCTGTTTTGAATATAAAATTTCCGTTCCTTTATTTTTCCGTCCTGGATACTTAACTTAACTGCAATATAATAGACAATTGATAAATAAATATAAAGAAAACGATAAAAATTATTTTTATTTGAATTCGTTGTTTATCAAAAAATATCATTTAGTTATTGTTCATCAAAAATAAACTTCTAATATTTGAACTTCCTTATTTATTACAAAATTTGAAGATTCTACACAAAACAGCCCATTCAATTTCTTAGAAAGCAGCATTTGCAGTTGAATATAAAAAAAATTTATTTTCTGGTCACTTTGCACTTGATGTATATCTATTTAAAAAGTACACATTTAATGTTTTAATTCGAAGAAGAATCGACACCCTCAAATCATTAGAACTTCAAACTTTTAACAACCATGGCCTTCTCTGTATGTAATAGAAGAATTTTCACTTCGATAGTATCCAGAAGCCACAAGAGAGCAACACTATATTGACAGGAATTGAAATAACCTTCGAAAAAAGAATATTCTGTGAATTTGCAAGATACGACTTTTTCCTGTTGTTCATTTATTATTAAACAACGCTATAATATAGTTTTTTATTCAATAAATAGATATTTTCAAAATAAAATGTCAACAATACTGAGTAGTTTGTATAATAAAAAAATGTTCCCTTTTTTTAAACACAAATCTATTTGAATACAATAATTTTAGAGGGATTCCGAACTGAGTCGCGAAAGTGTAAACACTGGTACACGGTCTCTGCGATTTTTAATAAATTGTGTCGAAAATACGAGTTGTTTATTGATAAACTTGTTACGATAAGTGGACTAATTAGTAATGCACCGCTCGTGTTAATTTCGTTGTGAACTTTACATACAGTATCCTTTGTTTATTGACTGCGATTATTTGCAATAACTATTTTTCGATACCACTTTTTGTTAATTGTACTGATAAGAACGAAAATATCGTGACGAATTGAGAACCTCCTCCTTTTTTGAAGTCGGTTAATAAATACAATGACCACACCGCCCGTTAGGTCCTCGATCGGCGAGGCAACCAACAATACGCTATGTGTATATTTTGTGTTGCCAAGCATACGAACTTAAATCATTAGCAACAACACACAGGCCGCTTCTGTCTACAAAAGCGGCAATTTAAATTCAGAATATACCACTACTATTAAAAATACCATGTCTACTATGAATAATACTCAGGAACCCAGTATCTCTGCACTCCAAAATAAATCTTACGGTTCTGTAGCAAAAACATCTCCTAAGCCATCGTACCCTAAGAGGGAACAAGCAATTCTGCTTGATGTTGTAGAAAATCTTAAATTATTTGTTAAATCAATTGTTGCAATCAAATCAAATAACAGAATCTGCATTTACCTCTCCAAGACTGATATAGTTGACAACTTAATAACAGACTATCCCATTATCTCAATACAAGAAAATGAACTGTTAATTCGCAGACTTGTCACTCCATCCAAACGAATTATAATATCTAATGTCTGCCCATCTATTCCAAACAAGCTCATAGAAAGTGCAATTAGGGATTTAAATTTAAAATTAGCGTCTCCAGTTTCTCTTTTAAGAGCTGGAATCCCGGATGAAGAGTACAATCATGTTTTAAGTTTTAGACGTCTCTACTGATAAAATGCAATGTTTTATTTGTAAGCAGGCTAATCACATTGCAAGTAACTGTCCTAACTCAACACCTGTGGATCCTGTGGAATCGGAAACTACCGCTTATGCTGATAATCCTGTGGAATCTGAAATTAGCGCCCATGCTGATACTCCTATGAAATCTGAAATTACCGCCCATGCCAATACTTCTGCGGAACAAAGTACTTCCTCTCCTACAGATTTTAGCTCTTCCCCAGAGACTCTACAAAATTTGAATGATAGTCTCCGCACTGGCCAAAAGAGAATTCATCCTAGCTCCAGTGACCAAAATAGCCCTCCTGAAACCCCTGAAATTGATCTTCTCCCCCCGCAGACCCCATCCAATACTTCCACCACAAACTCCCCTCCCAAAAAATATCCCAAAAACCCAAAAATCTGTTACGAAACCCACACTAAAGAAGGCTAAAAAAGAATTTTTAAAAGATGCTAAACTTTCTGATGCCAGCAAGGTCGTAATACAAGAATAATATTAGAAAAACCCCAACGATCTCTCCCTATGCATAACTTTATTGCTTTCATAGAGAACACCTTTGGATGTAGTGACCCCTATTCTGAAGCTTTGCAATTTACCTCAAATGTTAAATCTCTACTCAAAGACATGCACCTAATATATCCTGAAATACAAGATCGGTCACTAAAAAACAGATTCCCAAGATTATCAAAAAAAATCAAGCATAGACTGGAGGAAGAGGAAATGAAAACTGGAAGCATCGCCAGCATATCCTCACTGACTTCTGTCGAGCAGGATAACGAAGATGTCTCAGACTGTTGACAACATTCTCAAAAGACTTTCTATTAACTCATTAGTTATATCTACAAAAAAAAGGTATATTTTTCATCTTCAAACTAATTCAATGGAATTGCGATGGATTCTATCCGCGTCTGGAAAGAATCGAACAGTTAATTTCTGACACTAATATAGATATTTTTTGTCTACAAGAAACCAATTTTACGGAATCTCACAAACGTAAACTCAAAGAATTCGAAGGTCATCATTTCATCAGAAGTTCTGGTTTAATTGCAAGTGGGGGAACTTCCATATTTATTTCCAATAATCTGTACTCCAAATACTTACCTCTAACCACTAATATCGAAGCAGTAGCTGTTAAATTTTGGCTTCCAGAAAAAGTCACTATTTGCAATATCTATATTCCTCCTACTTATTCATTTTCTGAAACTGAACTAACTGATCTTATAAATCCGTTGCCTCCCCCTTTTATACTATTCGGTGATTTTAATGCCCATAACACAATGTGGTGTTCCGAAAAGACTTTTGGCAGAGGAAAAACTGTTGCAAACGTTTTAAACAACACTAGTGTATGTCTTCTTAACACCGGTTCCGCCACTCATTTTAATATATCTACTGGGAACTTCTCATCAATTGATCTAAGTCTGTGTGATCCTGAAACTATCTCCTCCCTTTTCTGGGAGACATCAGAGTGCCTTTACGACAGCAACCACTTTCCTATTGTTATTTCCTCCATCTCAAGAAAAACCCCTACGAACACGCATAACATAATTAAACGGAAAATTGCTGGTGCCAATTGGGAGGGATTCAGATCACACATTGATAACCATATAACTCAATACCAACTTTCCGAAAATGTTGATGAAGCTGTTTCTGATTTCAATAACTGTTTGACTGCTGCTGCTGAAATATTCATAGGAAAATCTGCAATCTCTAGTAACCAAAAATCAGTTCCTTGGTGAAATGACAAATGTGCTACTGCTGTTAAGGAATGCAAAACAGCATTAAACAGATACCGTAGAGCTAGAACTCAAGAAAAGCTCATCAACTTTAAAAAACTCAAAGCCAGTGTGAAACGTATTCTAAAGCAGTGCAAAAAAGAATCGTGGAATAACTATGTGCCCTTAATTACATCTGACACCCCTCCTAGTGAAGTATGGAATAAAATCAGACGTATGCAGAAAAATAGATCTGAAATGAACATTCCAGAATTACTATGTAAAGGTAACGTAGCAACAGACAGCCAAGCAATAGTTAACATAATTGCTGAAAATTTCCACAAAAAATGCAAAAACAAACAAGGAAACATGCCTTCTACCTCAATTAGCTTAGTTATATCTGCCCTTCCGACTTCTGATGCAGACTCCAAATCTTTAAATCTCCCTTTTAATTTACACGAACTTCTTGATGCTCTTTCCACATACAAAAATTCAGCTTGCGGACCCGACAATATTCCATTTGTTTTTCTTAAGAATTTGCCATCCTCAGGACTCACCAGGATGTCGTAGCAGCTATCTTTGATATCGAAAGTGCCTTTGACACCCTTCTGATACCTACAATTCTCTAAAAACTTAAAAAGTGTAACGTTACCGGAAAATTATTCAGTTCTATTAAAAATTTTCTTACTAACCGTGTGTTCAAAATTACTGCTAATGGAAAAACATCTTCTACCTTCTCTCAAGAACATGGTGTACCGCAAGGCTCGGTTTTAAGCCCAACTCTTTTCATTCTTGCTATTAACGACATATGCAGCTCCATTGGCCCTCCGGTCAAACTAACTCTATATGCAGATGACCTTATTATCTACTGTTCTAGTAAAAATGTAACATCTACCTCTACACTAATCCAAGAAGCTGTGAATCAGCTCAGTTTGTGGTCTACAAAAACAGGCCTCTACTTCTCCCCTACAAAATCAAAAGTATTAAAGTTCAGCAGACGATCATCCTGCACATTAAATCCCAATATTTCCATGAACGGTAGTCCTTTAGCAGTAGTCGACCATCACAAGATCTTAGGATTTATTTTTGACAGCAAACTTAACTGGAAGAAACACCTCTGCGAATTTAAAAACAACTGCCTAAACAGACTTAATATTCTGAAATCGTTATCTCACCATCAATGTGAGCAGAAGAAGAAGTTTTACTCAAGGTGTACAGAGCACTAATTAGATCCAAGGTAGATTACGGAAGCTTCATCTATTCGGCAACTAAATCTGCTCTAAAAACACTGAATTTTGTTCAAAATTCTGCATTAAGAATATGCCTTGGAGCTTTTAGATCCAGCCCCTCTGAAAGTCTATGCTGTGAAGCTAACGAACCACCTCTCTGACTGAGGCGACAACAGCTCCTTCTTACCTACTGTGCAAGGGTTTCAGCAAATCACAAAAACCCAGCATATTCCTTAATTAACGCTGTATATTCGAACGTCCACGTTTCCACTAATGATGTTTAAACATTACCACAAATCCTTGCTCCACTTCTCGCTGATATCGATTTGTCTCGAACAACTCCAATTCCTATATCTCCTGTGCCGCCATGGGAAAAATTTCTACCACTTTTTAATACCACTCTAGCTCATGACCCTAAAAACGAAACTCCTAGTAACTTTCAAAAACAAGCTTTTCTAGAATTAATAAATTCTTCCCAATTTGACACCATCCTATACACAGATGCTTCTAAAATAAAAGACTATGTCGGATGCTGTGTGATCTCTGGCCTTGATATCATCTCTAAAAATCTTCTACCACATTTTGCCAGTGTTCACACTGGCGAGCTGTTTGGTATCTACCAAGCTGTTAAATCTGTTAAAATAAACACGAGAAGAGTGGCCATTTGTACAGTCACTTGCATCAATCATGTCAGTAAAAAATCGTTCCTCACAAAATTTAGTGGTCCAAACAATACATGAATCCTGTCATCTTCTCATTGCGCAAGGAGTATCCATAACAGTGATTTGGATACCATCATGTGGGTATACCAGGCAACGAGACAGCCGACTGTGCAGCTAAGGATGCTTCTTTATCAAATTTAGCAATGGAAAACAATCAGCTACATAAAGACATCCAAAACCTTTTCAAAAATAATATTAGAAGAACATGGCAAACCCACTGGAATACAATAACATCTAAACTACGTGATATCCAACCAAACATCGAACCGTTCCTAAATGCCTCATCTTTCAAGAAAGAACAAAATAACCATCCGAAGATTTCGAATCGGTCATACTCGACTAACACACGGTTACTTAATGGCTACCGAAGATCCACCGATGTGTCAGAGCTGCATGCTTCCCCTAACCGTCCAGCACAGTATCATAGACTGCCCAGACTTTGTGAACCACAGCAGAATCTACAACCTACCACCAAATCTGAAAAAAGTTCTTAGTTCTCAAGACCAAATAATTAATATTATTAAATTCCTAAAAGACATTAATATCCTTTATAAGTTATAAATATTCAATTGTTTTTTTTTTTATTAAAATAATAATATATTATTTCGTACCTGTGTCAATGGCAGTCGAGACACTTTAATTTTAAATAAATAACAAAAAAATGAATAATAATTTTTGAAAGGTTTGGAGCTTATAAATTGTACTTACTCTTTTCGTCTTTATGTTGTCAATTTCAGAGCCAATAAAATTTATATTTTTTATATAAAAATAATTAGTCATGTTAAAATCCACCTTGGGTGGATCTAAAGATCCTTCTTTCAAACCTGTTTGTACATGGCCATTTTAAAAAAAATAAATACCAATTTCAAAATAATTTCGCAATCAAAAACAAGGTTAGAATTTAGATGTACAGACGAAACCACGTTGCCAGACTTTTAATTTGATATCCGCTTTTATTCATTATCAAACAACACCTTTCATGTTTGTTCCCTATAATAAGTAAATATATAAAAATAAAATTAATTACATTGAACACATAATACCGTATTAAAAAATTGAGTGACATATATAATGAAACAAAATATCGTATTGACAACTTTAGATATACCCTAAAAATTAATCATTCTTTCAATAAATCATTTCTCGATTGGATCACTCTATCAATCATCTAACCAATTAATCGTCATTTTAGCTCCAGCAAACAAAGTCCCTTGACTCAAATTTAGTGTTAAATCGCACGGCAATAACGAGGTCTCAATATCACAATAATACTTTCATCGATTAGGAACCTTTGTTTATAGGCATGTTTTATCTAATTGAGTGTCCGAACTTCACTTGTTCATTATCAAGTTTTGCAATGCCACTGCTGAATTACTGTTGTGAACTGCCAGCTATTAATAAGTGACGGTTCGTTAAATAAAGCAAAGTAGATTACAGGTAAATAAACTTGCTAATTATCCGTTTAACCGGGATATTTACTACGCATTTAGCGAGTAACGCGGTGTTTTATTTAAAATCAAAGCGTCGGTTTAGCATTTGATGTAAAGCCTCGAGTATGAGACTGCAAATTAACCTTTATTTAGTTTGAAAATCTGTTTCATGTTCAATATTTATAAACATTAGTAAGTTTTTTTTTTATAAATCAGCTATTGGCTATTAGCTTTAAATACTTTATAATGTAAGGAATTTAATACTTACTTTTTAAGTATTGCACTAATGTAAGATATACTGTAACCCCCAAAACGTTACTTTAGGTTCGGTTGTCCCTG